TTTTCTGAGCCCGCGATAAAAGCGCAAGATGGCGGCCACCAGAGCGATATATGCGATGTTTTCAAAAAATTGTTTTAGAAAAATGGATGCTCTATCCCCTTTAAAAACTGGATTTTTGGACTTCTCAAATGATGTAGTTCCTCTTAAAAATGGGTCATTTTGGAGGGTCAGTTGTCCTTTAAACATCCGTGGAATCCATGTCTTGACCCCAGTCGATTTAGCAACACTGAAGTACTGAATAAACTGAGCTGTATCGCTATGAATAACACCATTGCTGTGGTAGCTAACATGGGAGACTTGCAGCCATGCTCCAAGCCAAGAGATCCAAACTGCCCAGATGATAATCATTACCAGTACAACACGGATGTGGTTTTTGATCTAGATGGTACATTCTTGGCAAAATACCATAAACAACATCTTTTCCATGAAAATCAGTTCAATACCCCTTCACAGTGTGAATACGTGACTTTCACCACCGGATTTGGAGTTCGATTTGGCGTCTTTACCTGCTTTGATATGCTGTTTAAGTGTCCTGCAGTTGATTTGGTAGAAAAATACGGGATACGAAATATAGTTTTCCCAACAGCATGGTTTGATGGCTTTCCTATTTTAATGTCAGTGGAATATCAACAAAGCTGGTCGAGGACAAACTGTGTCAATCTTCTTGCCGCCAATATTCATATTCCATTAGATACAGTGGACTTTTTTGGCAGTGGGATATACTCCTGCGGAGAAATAAAGGCTTATGTGTTTGATCCACTGGCAACGAAAGAACAAAGGCTGTTAATAGCAACCTTACCGGATCTTGAGGCGACAACTAAGGATGCCAGTGACCCTCCAAATCCTGGAGCTCTGATGCCACAGGCTGAGGTAAAACAGGCCCTGGAAAATGTTAACAAAGAGGCCAGTGATGACGGTGGCAGAATGGCACCAGTATTTGAAGGGGAAATCATGGATGATAATTATATGATGAAATGGCTCGATCCCCACAACACGAGGATCTCAGTCTGTCACAATGCCCTTTGCTGCACTCTGGATTACAGTATTGGTAATAATAAAGTGGAAGAGAGTTATGCCTTGGGGGCCTTTCGAGGACATCATAATCCAGAAGGGTTCTTCCTGGAGGTGTGTATCTTGCTGAAATGTGCCGGGTCAAGCGAGAAGATGTGTGGAACCAAGGTGGATACTTCATCCACAGTCTTCAAATATGTGCAGCTATCTGGAAATTTCACATCGACAGCTCATGTTTATCCTGAAATCTTGACCAGCGGTTTGAAGCTTGCCGCCAAACAAGAGGTTAGTGTCAGTGGTCATGTTACCATGACAACCAAAACGCTAAGAGAACCTTTGATTTCGGCTTCTTTGTTTGGTCGAGATTACGACAAAGACAAACCATAAGACCTTATGACGTCACATGAAAAAAGTCTTAGGTTTTAACGCTTAGAGTCATGGTCTTGGAGCAACAAATCTAAGAAAACTGCAATTTTTTTTGTTCAGCCTTAGGAAAGCAATATTAGTCACCAAATACCGTATATGTTGTTGCGCAAACAAAGGTTTATAAGATGTTTGAAAAGCAGACACATAAGAGCTATCAATTGAGGTGTAGAGTAAAATTACAGAGGCGGATCCTGGAATTTTAAAGGGGAGGGTTGACTATTACAAATTTTTTTCCAGAAATTCGAGGAAAAGGGTGGTGTTGGTGAGGGGGGTGGGGG